TATACACTCATCTCTATACTCTTACGTAAATTGTTAAGATACATGTTTTTGTAGTCTGCTTTATTTACTAATCTATTTTATAGAGCTTTATCAATTCACATAGAACTATGGAATTTTTTCTTTAAAAAATTTTTTTTTTCTTTTTTTTGTAGAGACAGAGTCTTGCTTTGTTGCCCAGACTGATCTTCACGAACTCGTGGCTTCAAGCGATCCTCCCACCTAAGCCTCCCAAAATGCTGGGATGACAGGCGTGAGGCACCACACCCAGCTACAACTGTTAGTTTTAGTAATTGTTTATACTTTGTTGCAGGGCTGGCAAACTATGCCCACAGGCCACTTGTTTTGGCAAATAAAGTTTTATTGGAACACAACCATGCACATTTGCTTACAAATTGTCTACGGTTGCTTTCACACTACAATGACAGAGTAGTTGTGATAGAAACCATATGGCTCACAGGTCAAAATATTTATCGTCTAATCATTTACAGAGAAAGTTTGCCAACCCCTGCTCTATTGTATAGCTATATCAAATTGTATTTAACTCACTCTGATTGATAGGTCTTCACTATTTTATATGTAACTATAACCCTGAACATCCTTAGGGACACTAATCTTACTACTTCTTCAAGAGGGTACCTAGAAGTGGAATTGTTGGGCAAAACAGGTACACGTTTTAAATTGAGAAATATTGTCAGCTTACCGTTAAACAATAGTTTGTATCAATTTGGAATCTCACAAAAAAAAAGTGTATAAGTTCCTTTTAGTCACGTACAGCAGCTCATGCCTGTAATCCTGATGCTTTGGGAGGCTGGGGCAGGAGGATCGCTTGAGCCCAAGAGTTTGAGACCAGCTTGGGCACCATAGTGAAACCCCATCTCTACAAAAAATACAAAATTAGCTGGGCATGGTGGTGTGCACCTGTAGTCACAACTAGTTGGGAGACTGAGGCAAGAGGATCACTTGAGGCAGGAGGTCAGATCTGTAGTGAGCCATGATTGTGCCACTGCATTCTGGGTTGGGTGACAGAGCAAGACCTTGTCTCAAAAAAAAAAAAAAAAAATCCTTTTCCATCATGTCCTCTCTTTTAACCTTGCAAGTCTAACAGGTGGGAAATATTTTTATTTTCAGTTATTTTACTATTGAGATGGGATGTCTTCATTGAATTGTTGGTCATTTGTATCTTTTGTGAGTTAATTTGTTTGGGACATCTACCCGTTTTCTGTCCAGTGTTAGATTTCTTTATCAAGAGTATTGCAGATGTTTTTGTTTCTGATGTCTTGTGACATAAAGAAGTTTAAAATTTTCATATATTTTCCCTATATGCTTTCTGCTTAGAAGGGCCTTCCTTATTTGCATTAAAATGCTTCTATAGGCTGGGTGCAGTGGCTCACGCCTGTAATCCCAGCACTCTGGGAGGCCAGGACGGGCAGATCACCTGATTTCAGGAGTTCAAGACCAACCTGGCCAACGTGGTGAAACCCCGTCTCTCCTCCAGATATAAAAATTAGTTGGGTGTGGTGGCAGGTGCCTGTAAATCCCTGCTACTTGGGAAGCTGAGAGGCAGGAGAATTACTTGAACCCTGGAGGCAGAGGTTGCAGTGAGCCAAGATTGCACCACTGTACTCCAGCCTGGGTGACAGAGTGAAACTCTGTCTCAAAAAACAAAAAGGCTTTTATAAAATGAGCCCTCATTATGTTGCTAATTGAATGTGTAATGATTTTAAAAACTATGTGTGGTTTAACCAGAACTTTTTTTTTTTTTTGAGAAAGAGTTTTCACTCTTGTTGCCCACACTGGAGTGCAGTGGCACGATCTAGGCTCGCTGCAACCTCTGCCTCCAGGGTTCAAGTAATTCTCCTGCCTCTCAGTTTCCTGAGTAGCAGGGATTATAGGTGCCTGCCACCACGCCCAACTAATTTTTTTTTTTTTTTTTTTTGGTATTTTCAGTAGAGACAGCGTTTAACCATGTTGGCCAGGCTGGTCTCAAACTCCTGACCTCAGGTGATCCACCCACCTCGTCAGGCTGGTTTCGAACTCCTGACCTCATGATCTGCACGCTTCAGCCTCCCAAAGTGCTGGGATTACAGGTGTGAGCCACCACGCCTGGCCAGAACTTTGTTTTTTAACATCAAAACAAGCTTCTTAATATTCTATCAATCTTCCAAAAATAAAAATCGTTTGGGCCGGACATGGTGGCTCATGCCTGTAATCCCAGCACTTTGGGAGGCTGAGGCGTGCAGATCATGAGGTCAGGAGTTCGAAATCAGCCTGACCAACATGGTGAAACCCTGCCTCTACTAAAAATACAAAAACTAGCCAGGCGTGGTGGCATGCACCTGTAATCCTAGCTGCTCAGGAGGCTGACGCAGGAGAATCGCTTGAACCCAGGAGGCAGAGGTTGCAGTGAGCTGAGATCATGCCATTGCACTCCAGCCTGGGCGACAGAGTGAGACTCTATCTCAGAATCAAAGAAAAAAAAAAGTTTGTATTTCTTATTTATATGTGTACCTTTCCTGTCTTTTCTAGGTTTTCTTTATCTGGTAGCTAAGAACAGACATATATATATACATATTTGTTCAATTTCTATGATAACACCCTTAGCTGTTTGTGGTTCTTTTATTGTGATAGAAATGTTGAGCCTTTTAAAATAAATGAGTTCCATAGGTCAGAGGTAAGCCTATTTTTACAACTATATGCATACACACACACACACACACACAGATTTATCTTAAGTGTCTTTAATGTTGTTATGTTGTTGACTAAAGATTGATGTGGTGGTAAAGCAGAAGACTATAGTGACAAGATTGACCTGCCAGATTTGTTAGATCCTTTGAGGCTTTTGACATTTTAAGTCACTGTCCTCATAACATTCTTTGTTACAGCTGGCTTCAGACTCCTGAACGTGAATATCCTTACTTCCACTTTTTATCCTACAGATCTTTTTTTAAAAAGAAAAATCTTTGCCTGCTTATTTTCAAAATGACTGTAAACATTTAATGAGTTAACATGGCTGAAACCTTCTTTTTGCAGTTGGTCGAGAATATTTTTAGCAGAGAGTACAGGTTTTTGTGTTTTTGTTTGTTTTTTAAGATGGAGTTTCACTCTTGTTGCCCAGGCTGGAGTGCAATGGCACGATCTCGGCTCACTGCAACCTCTGCCTCCCAGGTTGAAGATATTCTTCTGACTCAGCCTCCTGAGTAGCTGGGATTATAGGCGCCTACCACCACGACTGGCTAATTTTTTGTATTTTTAGTAGAGATGGGGTTTCACTGTGTTGGCCAGGCTGGTCTCGAACTCCTGACCTCAGGTAATCCACCTGCCTCAGCCTCCCAAAGTGCCAGGAGTACAGGCATGAGCCACCATGCCTGGCCAAGGGTACAAGTTTTTAACCTGTACGTATTTTTCTTGTCAGTCATTAAACCAAAGGGGCAGAACTATTAAAAATAAAACTCCTGAAGCAAGGGATAATTTTCTCACATGGTCAAGGATTGCGAGAGGTATTACATGATTTATTTTGCTCCAATTATATGCTAGGTAGTCACTGTTTACCTCTTCATCTACAGAGGGGTGACATAGGCAGGGACCTATTTCTTGTACATTTTAGGCTTTGCCGAGTCTTATTTGCATGACATTAAGAGTCAGGTGAGAGACAGGATGTTCGGATTTACTGCTCTTTTTGACATCCAGTCAGTGTTGCCACATCATTGCCCACAGAAATAGGGACAATGAGGAAGGGCACGTCTCTGTGCTGAAGTCATTGCTGTTAGGAAGATAGAAAAAGTTTGTCTCTAACTCATGGAGCTGACTTATTCTATGTCTTATTGTATGTTGTGTTTTATGTATGTATGAACAGTGATGTTTATGTCAGGATTCTGTTTCCTAGCCCTGACAGCATGGCTGTTTTTTCTCTTTCTAGGCAGACTCAGTGGGATCCTCCTACTTGGGAAAGTCCAGGAGATGATGCCAGCCTTGAGCATGAAGCTGAGATGGACCTGGGAACTCCAACATATGATGAAAACCCCATGAAGGTGAGTGTGGCTTACACATGTATTTCCTGATCATTTGGGAGTCTTTGTTCTGTCATTCTATGAGGCCAGTAGTCACATGGTCTTGGGATTCTTTTTTCCTTATTCTGAAAAATAAGTGAGTGACCATGCATGTATCAAGGTGTAGAGATGAAGTCAAGGGGAAAGAATGGTCTTTTTTAGACATTCAGAGACTCAAATGCATGCTAACTACTTACTCTTTTGAGGGAGATATATGGCCAAATATGGCCAAGGGGTGTTTTGAACACCCCTTACTATGATTGCTTCAGGGCCTCTCTTGTTCTCTCTCTCTGCCTTTTTTTTTCTTTTTTTTAAATGAGACGGAGTCTCACTCTGTTGCCCAGGCTGGAGTGCAGTGGCACACTCTCAGCTCACTGTAACCTCTGCCTCCTGGGTTCAAGCAATTCTCCTGCCTTAACCTCCCGAGTAGCTGGGACTATGGATGTGCACTCCATGCCCGGCTAACGTTTGTATTTTTAGTAGAGATGAGATTTCGTCATGTTGCCCAGGCTGGCCTTGTACTCCTGACTGTTTCTGACTGTTTCAGCCTCCCAAAGTGTTGGAATTACAGGCGTGAGCCACCACAGCTGACCATATGAAGTGTCTTGAATGAAATCAGATATCATATTTTTATGTTCTAAAACCTGAATAATATTTTTTTAATTTTGAAAATAATTAAGTACTTCACTGGTTAAATTATTGGGAATAGGTGGAAGAAGGAAGAGGGAAGACAAAGAGCTGGAGTGAGAAGGGATTAAAGTAGAAATGAATTCATTCTTCTGTTTATATTTTATTCACTTCTGGAGGAAATGTTTTTCTCTTTTCACATGTGTTTGGCATTTGCAAAAAGATACACACTTAAGTTCAATCCATGTGGAGTCTGCTAAATTTCAAATGAATCACATAAAGCACGTAGCCACTTCACTCTAGCTGTTGTGCTGTCTTGTTTTCCTGAATCATTTAGGAATATGCCCAAGCCTGCTAAGCACTTGCCATTTAAATTATATGTAAGCTTAAATACAAACAAAAATCACAACTCCCATTTCCAGACTTCTGTACTGTGTTAGTTACATCTTTTGAAAAATAAACAAAGGGATTAAGAAAAGATCTGGTGCAGCAATATAGCTGAGTTCTGGGGCCAAGTTTATAAAGCATGTTGGAGGCCTTACCCTTCTTGTAAGCCCAAGTTCATGGGCACCGTAACTATTAATCTTGATGCAGTCTTTTGGTCTAGTATATGCATATTAAATTAGGCCTTTCAAAACAAATGAGGAATGGCATGAAGTTCACTGCTGCTTATTTATTGCTCAAGGAATTGCCTTTCTTATATGAAGACCTGTATTAGGAAATCCAGGTCGTCAAACTAGCCAAGCATAAAGTAGGAGCTGAGAAGTAGGAGCCAAGTAAAAGGGCAACTTATGTGCCATGCTACATAATTAGACCTTCATTCTCTGGCTAGCTGGTGAGAAAGGGAAGCCTTTAAAGTGATTTGAGCAGTGACATTTGCCTTTTACAAGGCTGTCTGCTGGAGATGGACTGGAGGGGTTGACTATAGAGCTGGCACCTTCGCAATGAGCTTATTGTAATAGTTAGGTCTACTCAGCACCCAGCGGCACCAGGCACCACCTGTTAAAAACGCAGACTCTCACTCCCTTTCCCAGACCTGCTAGATCAGAATCTGAAGTGATACAAGGTCCCAAGGTAATTACACATTCAAGTCTAAATAATTGGCAGTATTGTTTATGATTGACTGTAAGAGAAGTATGATCATAAAACTTTACTATATCCAACCACCCAGAGTGAGTGTATTTGTCAGGTTATGTTTGATCTTTACTCCTCTGTTACCATAGGTGCATGTGTGCCTGGAGAGTAAGCTGTTGGAAGTATTATATCCAAAAGGCAATGCCTGAATTACAATCCACTAGCTTGGAACTTTGGATCTCTAAATACACATTTTAAATCACACAGATCTGAACTTAATCTCACTCTTTTACATTTTGGTTATTTATCAGACATTTGAGTTCCTATTCCACACAAATGCCATGCCTAGACCTGGGCATACAAAAGGAGTATAAGGCAAGGTTATTGCTCCCAGGGGTCATAGGAAGGTAAGGTTTGAAAATGTACAGTATTATGTGGTTAAGTGGTAAACTGAGGGATTTATTTATTTTGTCATTTGGTTTGCTTTGATTTGTTTTTAGAGGCAGGGTCTCCCTCACTCTGTAGCCCAGGCTGGAGTACAGTGGTGCAAGCATAGCTTACCGTAACCTCGAACTCCTGGGCTCAAGTAATCCTTTCGTCTCAGCCTCCTGAGTAGCCAGGACTATAGATGCGTGCTACCATGCCTGGCTAATTTTTAAAAATTTTTGTAGACAACAAACAAGGACTTTAGAGGCCTGCAAAAGAAAATATAGTCTATCCTAGGAAGGAAAAGAGCACTAAACTAAATCTAACACTTAATTCACAATTAATTCTGATATATTGATGTGTTCATGTTTGTTGGGGGAGGTATATGTATAAAAATGAAAGGGAACGGAAGATTATAAAGAGAAAACATTCCTCCTAATACTAGCTCTTAACTGCCTCGGGGGGTTATAGAGTAGTACTTCTAATGGAGATTCAAAGGTGTCAGCTTCACTCAGTTGTTAGAGAAGATTGGAGAGGCCCTTTTATTCTTTTCTGCCACAGTATGTATACATAAATAAATCCCTCCTGGGATTCAAATAATAATAATGAGAGTGCACAAAGAATTAAGCTGCCAAATGTATTTCCTGTCGTGAACAAATAAAGGTAGAGATCTTCTCTCGCAAAAAGAATCATCATAGGCTAGGCACGGCAGCTCACTTTGGGAGGCCAAGGTGGCCCGATCACTTGAGCCCAGGAGTTCAAGACTAGCCTAGCCAACATGGTGAAACCTTGTGGCTCACGCCTGTATTCCCAGCACTTTGGGAGGCCCAGGCGGGTGGATCACCTGAGGTCAGAAGTTTGAGACCAGCCTGGCCCACATGGTGAAACCCTGTCTCTACTAAAAATAGAAAAATTAGCTGGGCATGGTGGCACATGCCTGAGCACATAGTAATCCCAGCTGCTCGAAAGGCTGAGGCAAGAGAATTGCTTGAACCCGGGAGACGGGGGTTGCAGTGAGCCGAGATTGCACCACTGCACTCCAACCTGGGCAACATGAGCAAGACTCTGTCTCAAAAAAAATAAAAAGAGAGAATATGATCAAACCACGACAGGGCTTATAACTTTAGTTACTTGAGTGCAAGTGTTAAGATTTGGTCTTGGTTTTCAGTCAGAAATTCACATATAGAATCAATCGGATTAATTTCTCTATACCCAAGAGCTGAGTTCTTAGGAGATACGCACATTCCCCTAGACTTCAGACCAGCCTCTTTCTAGATTACTTCTCCTTCAAGTCTGTCCCTGCCTACACTGGCAGTCCTGCACCACGTGCCTCCTCAGCATGGTACAAGTGGTTGCTTATAGCTCTGTCTTGCTTTTTCATCCTAGAAGTAACTCAACCAGAGGAAGTTATGAGGACTTTGTGAGAAAGTCCTTTAAAGCATTTGAGCTTTAAAGGATGAGGAATTTTTCAGTAAGCAAAGATAAGCTAAAAGGAAAGCTGGAGCAAAGGCAGGGAAGGAGGGGAATGTTTGGGATATGTTTGGGGAATAGCTCTGTTTACTTGTAGGAGGAACATAGGCATCATAATACTTGTAATCCAGCATGAGGTTGGAAGGGCATTGTTGGGGATAGACCTTGGGAATTTGAAAATGTAAAAGAATATGAACCTTTGTATGGTGGGAAACCTTTGAATTTTTTTTAGTAAAATTTATCTCGAGGCTTATGTCTGTAGGCCCTAAAATTCAGAAATGATTCTGTAAATAAAGGAATTGACAAGTACTTGCGCAAAGCAATTCAGTCTTTAAGGATGGCTTTCTTTTTTTCTCCCCCTCTCTGAGACAGTCTCATTCTGTCACCCAGGCTGGAGTGCAGTGGTGCGATCTCGGCTCATTGTAACCTCTGCCTCCCGGGTTCAAACAATTCTCATGCCTCAGCCTACTGAGTAACTGGGATTACAGGCACCTGCCCCCACACCTGGCTGATTTTTGTATTTGAAGTAGAGATGAGGTTTCACCATGTTGGCCAGGCTGGTCTTGAACTCCTGACTTCAGGTGATCCACTCGTCTTGGCCTCCCAAAGTGCTGGGATTACAGGTGTGAGCCACCCTGCCTGGCCAGGATGGTTATTTTATAACACCTTTTTGCTACTCATGACTCTGACAGTCCTCTGCCTTTTAATTGGTGTGTTAAACATATCAGTAGGCTTGGACTTAAGATCTACCCTCTTGTTATTTGTTTTTATTTATTTATTTATTTTTGGAGACAGATTCTTGCTCTGTCACCCGGGCTGGAGTGCAGTGGCATGATCTTGGCTCACTGCAATCTCTGCCTCCTGGGTTCAAGCAATTTTCCTGCCTCAGCCTCCTGAGTAGCTGGGATTACAGGCACCTCCCATGACGCCTGGCTAATTTTTGTATTTTTAGTAGAGACTGGGTTTCATGTTACCCAGGCTGATCTCAAACTCCTGACCTCAGGCGATCCACCTGCCTCAGCCTCCCAAAGTGCTGGGATTATAGGTGTGAGCCACCGTGCCCAGCCTTATTATTTGTTTTTAAATTTTTATTTGTCTTTGCTTTCTTTTGGATTGATTTAGAATTTATTTCAGTATTCTGTGTTTCTTTGTTTTGTTTTTTTCCTACTGACTTAGCCATACCTCTTTATTTTATTTTATTTTTTATTTTTTTGAGCCATGGTCTCACTCTGTTTCCCAGGCTGGAGTGCGGTAGCACCATCAGGGCTCACTGTAGTCTCCACCTCCCAGGCCCACATGATCCTCCCGTCTTAGCCACCCAAGTAGCTAATTTTTGTACATTTTTGTAGAGACAGGGTCTCGTGGTGTTGGTGACCGGGCTGGTC